CGAAATGTCTGCAGGGCCTGGAGGTTCAGCTGAAGGCTCGTGTAACACATGCTGCACAGCGTATTCCCACGCGGAGCGTGAGCGATCTGTCGCGTTTCCTCGGCAGGTTGTATTGATCTCGACCTCGGCGGGAATGATTCCTGCTGCACAGCTTCGTCTCGGGCCTGCAGATAAAAAGTCCCGTCCTCTCTTTTGGTTTGAGCTTTGGAGGGTCGGTGGCCTCGGTGACACATCGCAGGCAGGTCACGCGCTGATTTAAGGAGTACGTCTTTGTGACGCTGACAGTCTTCTGCCACTGCAGTAATTGAGGTTCATTAATCTGAATCTCAGCCGTGTTTGATCGTTTTGGGAGTAAACTGTCAAATTGGTGCAAAAGGTAGAATTTTTCTTTGATCCTCTGAAGGGATTTTCTGAGAACGGAGTGGAGACGCACGCTGGGTTTGGAAGCTGACTATTTCCCGGCTGATGTCAGTGAACGATGTCTTTGTTGCAGTTTTTGGGATCCCTCCCACGAAACGCCGCTAAGCTCCCTCTCGCGTTAAATGGTTGGAAAAAGTTGTAGGCTACTTAATGTTTGCTGATGAGCGAGCTTACCCAGAAACGTACACGTGTGACGGGTGGGATTAGTCGCCTCTAATCCTTCATTAATTAAACGCGGGAGAAGGTTCAAACTTCTTTCGGCCTCGGACAACACAGCGGAGGGTTACCAAGCCACGAGGGAATGACGTCATCAACCCAACCAGAGCTCTACTGCCCTCAGCTGGTGTCACGGTGACACTGCTGGCAAACGGCAAATCCGCGCGCACACACACACACACACACGGGATGGAAATGCTTTCACGCCTCTGTGGCTTCTGCTGAGGTCTGTAGTGTTTTAAGAGCAGCCGTGTGCTTCACGCAGAAGTCTCTTATCAGAGGTCAGTCACCGTTGTTATTCAATATATTCAGCTAAATTATCTTCATGCAAAGTCCGAGCACAGTTTCCCACGTGAAGAACTCAAATGTTGGTTTGCTATTCAGTGAATTCCAAAGCAACTTGATTTGAGGCACTCTGATGATGCTGATGATGATGTCAGACAAACTCTGACACACTTATTCTATTGTGGTGAGCAATACATAATTATCTTGATTGCTGTAATCAAAGTTCATAGATAAAATTGGGTCTATTTGCACAAAAAGTGTGCATTTGTCTAATTGATAAGATAATTTCTTTCTCAATTAAATGGGGAAAAAAACCTGCAGTTTCCTCCATATATTTATCAGATGAAATATTCAATTTGTGTAGATAATCACATGCAGGACAGGAATGTAATGGGTGCAGAGAGCCTCCACACAAAGGCTTTGATTTGATTGACAGGTGTGCTGCCCCCGTGCATCTCGGCTCAAGCTGCAGCGGCGTGAAATGAGCTTCAATCACGGCTGCTTACCGGCGTTGTTTGTGCTTTATTATCATTTTATTTCCAATGCAGCAGTGATTGTGTCAGAATGACACTGCTTTCAAACATTTCTGTGTCCAACAATCTGCCGACAGGTCAAGTAAGTTACATCAATATTTAATCTAATAAGACGTTTAAAACACGGTATCGGGAAGCCGCTGGTGTTCTGTTCATCAATATCTGTATCAGGAAGAACACATGGTCCTTTCATGTTGTGTCACCCTAATCCACCCCAGTCAGAAAGGTACTGTTCGTAATAGTTTCATGAAATAATGGTATAATTAATCGAGTTCTGGTATTTTGTGCAAACAAAAAAGCCTGCAAGTGATAATTAATTTCCTTATTAAATCTGTCAATATATATTTTGTTCTATTGTATAATTGTAATATAAAATGTACTTTATTTAATAATTAGTCTTCTTCAAATTGCTTCTTGTGTCAGACCAACAGAAGATATCCAGGAAACGTGTGCGCCTTTGATCGGGTTTATAATGAAGACCTGTTGACCAGCTTCATGGAGCAGATGGTGAGGATGGTCAGGATGATGATGGTGAGGATGGTCATGACGGTGATGGTCATGATGGTCATGATGATGGTGAGGATGGTCATGATGGTCATGATGATGGTGAGGATGGTCATGATGATGGTGAGGATGGTCATGATGAGGATGGTCGTGATGATGGTGAGGATGGTCATGATGGTCATGATGATGGTGAGGATGGTCATGATGATGGTGAGGATGGTCATGATGATGATGGTCATGATTAGGATGGTCATTATGAGGATGGTCATGATGAGGATGGTCATGGTGATGATGGTCATGATGAGGATGGTCATTGTGAGGATGGTCATGATGGTGAGGATGGTCATTATAATGATGGGCATGATGAGGATGGTCATGATGAGGATGGTGAGGATAAGGATGGGCATGATGAGAATGCTCATGATGATGATGGTCATGATGGTGAGGAACGGTTATTATAATGATGGGCATGATGAGGATGGTGAGGATAAGGATGGTCATGATGAGGATGTGAGGATGGTCATGATGATGATGGTCATGATGGTGAGGATGGTCATTATAATGATGGTCATGATGATGATGGTCATGATGAGGATGGTCATTGTGAGGATGGTCACGATGATGATGGTCATGATGGTAAGGATGGTCATTATAATGATGGTCATGATGATGATGGTCATGATGGTGAGGATGGTCATTATAATGATGGTCATGATGAGAATGGTCATGATGAGGATGGTCATTGTGAGGATGGTCATGATGATGATGGTCATGATGGTAAGGATGGTCATTATAATGATGGTCATAATGATGATGGTCATGATTGGTGAGGATGGTCATTATGATGATGGTCATGATGAGAATGATCATGATGAGGATGGTCATTATGAGGATGGTCATGATGAGGATGGTCATTATGATGATGGTCATGATGAGAATGGTCATGATCAGGATGGTCATTATGAGTATGGTCATGATGATGGTGGTCATGATGAGGATGGTCATGATGAGGATGGTCATTGTGAGGATGGTCATGATGGTAAGGATGGTCATTATAATGATGGTCATGATGATGATGGTCATGATTAGTGAGGATGGTCATTATGATGATGGTCATGATGAGAATGATCATGATGAGGATGGTCATTATGAGGATGGTGAGGATGGTCATTATGATGATGGTCATGATGAGGATGGTCATTATGATGATGGTCATGATGAGAATGGTCATGATCAGCATGGTCATTATGAGTATGGTCATGATGATGGTGGTCATTATGGTCGATGGTCACACAAAGCGTTCTTGGCAATACTTTGTCCAAATTAAAATAAATACCTGCTGGAAGCCTCAAACCCGCAGAATCCTTCATCATAAAACTGTTCTCAGGTTCCCACTTGAAGCCATCAGTGAACAGGGGCTTTGTGAATATTCAGAATGACTACAGGAGGGTTTTTTTTACCATTTGCACAAAGCCTCCCACTCTGCGCATGGGCTGCCTTTTTTTATTGCTGTAGTTTTGCTTTTGGGTAAAAGCAGTAATAAAAAGGTTCATTATGAGCGCTCATGTTTTATTGCCTTGACATTCCACTAGTCTCTAAAAAAAAATGCTCTTGCGCCTTTTCCACCCGAGGGGATGGAAAAATATAGCTTACTAATACATTTCACATAAAGATGAAAGTGTTCCGATGCAGTGTTGGACTGTAGAAATGCCCCCCACCCCCCCTTTCCTCCCCCAAGCTGTTATCTCTGCTCGCTGCTCCCCCGCCTCCTTATCTCATCACCCATTTTTCCTGTAATTAGACATAATTGGTTTTTCTGCACCAAAAATCCTTCGTGCGGATCATTTCTCATTTGTCTCCGTGAGAAAAATGAATGTTGGATTACACGTTTTTACGCTTTGATGGAGCTCTGCACTCTGCAAAGTGCTTTAGAATGACTCAAACGGAATCACACTGCCAATCAATCACAATTTCAGGCAACTACAGTGATAACATCAAGTGAAAAGTAAGTTGCTATGGAAACACTATTAAACGGTCAAAACATTCTGTTGTACGTGCATTCTGTTAAAGCAACTGAATAAAGTTTAATCTAAAAAATAGACTTTTAGGTGTTTCGTGTGATCATGTTTCACGTCTTTCACGTGTCTTCTTTAAATACATCAAATGCAACATTCCTGTTTGACGGTGTCCTCGGATTTTCTTCTGCTGCGACTGGCATTTGATTGACAGTTCGCACGCGCGGAGACGGCTCGGCTGAATCTTTTATTCTGTTGAGAGCTCAGTAATGAAAAGAAGAAGAATACTGAGTGCAAAATGGATTGAAATGTACCATTTCCCCCTCCAGTTAATGGAAACGTTGACACTTTTAAAACGATTTCAAAAATATAAAATGCTGGAAGTTTTTGAAATGTTAACTATTCTGGAGTCTTAAGAGGTGAAGTTGTGCAGATATTTAATACAACTTGAGAGCTAGAAAAGTTCTATAAGACTTATCATGCTGTGGCTTTTAGGACATTCTGACTACATTCTATACTGTGACTTCTCACCCTGCACATCAGGGAGATGATGGCTTTGTGACAGTTTGCTGCATCTCGCCATAAAAGATTCATAAGGCTAACTGAAGAAAATCAAGACTCACTTTAAGAGAAAGTGTTTATTGAAAGAAACAATTACATGAGGAAGAGTAAACATTTTAAAGCGTTAAAATTGTTCGTAACGGAGGACAGAAGTTTTGCAAACAGACGCCGTTGGCTCAGCTTGATGAATCAATATTAAATGAGTGAATTACTGCAGTTAATGAAAAGGTTTTACGGGTTACAAATAGTTGCGTGATGTAGTTTGTACATAAATCTGAGTTCTAGTCCCTGAGCCTCAAAACTATTTTCACAATGTGATGACATGCATAGTTTAAGTGTGACGTTTGTGGACGTCCGTCCAGCAGAAACGCAGCTCCGTGTTTACGACTTGTCGAGGTGAAGTGACAAAATTCAGTGTCCTGCTTCCGAAGAATGAAGCTTCTGTCAAGTGTAAAGCAAAAGACAATTAAAGCGTTTGGGAGTTTTTATTGTCTCACACGTGTTAGTTCTCAGAACAGATAAGTAAGTATTTCATCCCAGAGCCTTTAACAGATGCATAGTTAATGGTTTTAAGGAAACAGTGTGAAAACAAACATTTCACAGCTTACTAAAAAAGTAAAAACACGAGTTTCTCCCTCGAGACGAAACATACTTTTTCGCCTCTTCACTACAAATACATGAACTATCCATTTATAAACCAACAGAAGATGATTCAAAGACCTTGTCTGTTTCACAGCTTTTCCCTTAACGCACATCCTAAACGGAGGACACCTTTAACGACAGTAAGATATTCAGCGCTTCCGTTCGTCACCGCTTAGTTTGCATGGGATGCAGATGGCATTTGTTTTATTAAATGCTGCAGCGTAGCAGCAATCCCTGAAGGGCGGAACATCCAACCCTGAATAACCTTTGATTGAAAATGTCTTTGCAGCCCCAAATACCAAGCTGCTCCACGTTTCCATAGCAACCGCAAACGGATGCCGCTAAATAAGTCACCGCTAAATGCATCCAGAAATGTATTATATTGAAATTGATCAGTACGGGCCTCAAAAATGACTTTGGCAATACGAGGAAGCTCGAAATGCATCTTCTTCCCACCGCAGCAGCTCTGCTTCGAGATAAAAACGCAGAGGAAGCTTTAAAAAGGAGACGACAGTGAAACGGGACCGTAAACATTGTGTCCTTTAGGAATATACTTTTATGAGAACAGTTATTATTTCAGGTGTAAAGGCACAAACATGAAGGAGATTGTCTTGTTTCGGGGTTTTCAGGTCCAGCAGCGACGGGTCAGAGGAATCCTGGGGGAGAAAACAGAATCCCAATAAGTCTTTGAGGGGAAACGGATTCTTTGCTTCCGTCAAAATAAGACAAAGCAAGACGGGAACTTCAGCTTTTACCATTTAAACAACTCCTTCGAGGTAAAGAAAGATATAGATTTTTTTACACTATAGGTTACATGATCAATTTCCAAATAGAATAAAAAAAAATTTTTAACTTCATAAAGAAGAAACATAACTTACCGAGATTTGCTCAGAGATCGTCTGAGGCGATTTTTATCTTTTTGGGGGTTTTCTTTTTCTGGAAGGATCAAAAAAGAAGAAATTTAGTCGTGAATCCAAACAACGTAACGGAAGAAGAGGCGAAGCGTGGGTAGAAGGTCGCGTCGGTTGCCATGGAGACACGTCTCACCTTCGCAGCGGGAGGAGTTTGTTCCTCTGCAGCCGGTTCCGTCTCCTCCGACCGGTTCCTCTCTGCAAATCAGAATTCAAACATGAAGCCTGAAGCTGTTCTTCCCGTTCGTGTCCGCTAAGCGATTCCTTTGGTTTAATGGATTCTTTAATTGCTAAAAATTAATATGTTTAACAGCGAGAAAGTGTCTCACTCTTTTTCTTTGCAGAAGTGACGGGCATGGGGCTGTCAGTCGTCTCCTCGCCTTCTTCAGCCATGATCATCATCTTCTTCTTCTTCTTGCCTTCCTTTGGAAGTGGAGTCGATGCCGTCTCAGGAGGTCCGGAGCTCTCCTCCTTTTCCTCCTCCTCCTCTGTTTGCTTCTTCTTTTTCTTCTTCGGCGGTTGGTTTTCCTTTGAGGAATTCTCTTCTTGCTCTCCGTTCATTTTAATCATCTTCTTCTTCTTCTTTGGTGTGTCGTCGCTCTTCTGGGCGGGGTCACCTTGGGGCGTCTCCTCCGCGGTCGCCTTTTGTCTGCAAGAATGATTGATGTTACTTGTGATTAATGATTGTGATTTACAATGAAGGTATTGCTGATGTAACTATACTTGTTAAATGTTTGACTCTAATCTAAATATATTTTGTGTTTATTCCACATTGATCTAATTATTATAAATTGCTTAAATATATTTATGCATTTTTTACAGTTACATTATTTATATGCACGTATTTTAAGACCATAAAGAGGCCAAAGAAAACCTCTGACCTCATCTTCATTATCTTTTTTCTACGGTGTTGCAACCTTTTCACGAGGCTGTGTTTCTTCCTGAAACGGCGATTCTTAGTCGATGAGCTTGCATCTATAAGAAGAAAAAAAAGAAGTAGTAAAAAGTACAAATCATTGAACTTCAAATTGTAAGCGCAGTGAAAGAAGAAGGTATTCGGTTGCGTTGTTTGTAAACAGTCTTGTGTTCATTTTGCATGCATTGTTTGTGAGGAATATCTTTATTTTCATTATTACCGTAACATTACTACTATAGATTTTAACAACCATACTTTATGTCAGCCTGGACATTTAATCTGAAAAAGGACTAAAGACGGAGTAGAAATAAGAGTTTGACAGGTGGGAGACACCGACTACCTGTGGACTCCTGATCCTTGTCTGTGTCTGTGTTGCCCCCTGCTGGTGTTTCCTTAGACGGTTTCTTCTTCTTTGTCTTGGCTGGACTCGAGGACAAGCTGCACTCCACTTCTACGGCCTCGCTCTTCTCTTCTGTTACCTTCTTCTTCTTCTTTTTGATTTTCTTCTCTGAAGGCGTGACCTCTTCCTTCTCCTCCGCTACCTCTTGCTCCATCTTCCTTTTCTTAGCCTTCTTCTTCTTCTTCTTCTCCTCCTCCGGTGAAGTGGCCAAAGAGGCATCCGCCTCCTCTATCGTCTGATCTGCCTCCTCCTTTTCTTCCGTCTGCTTCCCCTCGGCCCTCCGTTTGTCTCTCTTCATCTTTTTGGCGGTCTTGGCGGCGAGAGGAGCGTCGCTGGGTGCGTCTACGGTGGACGAGTCGGTGCTCGGTGCCTCCGCCTCCTCTTTGCTCTTCTTTTTCTTCTTCTTCTTCGAGGGGGTTTTGGAAAGGTCTTCCTCGGGGGGCGGCTGGCTGGATCGTGGCTGGGTCGGGTCGGTGTCCTCGATGTTGAGGACGATGGAGACTTCAGGGTCTCCGGAGGCCGTCACCATTTCTGCAACAGGACACAGAAACACTTACCAAGTTGTAGCAAACCGAAGTCAACTTTAAAAAAATTAAACACAATTTGAGAAATTGTTGCTAATGAAATAGCTGAGTAGCTAGTAACCACTAGCCTACTTTGACTAGTAACCACTAGGCTACTGTGACTAGTAACCCCTAGTAACCACTGGGATACTGTGACTAGTAACCCCTAGTAACCACTAGGCTCCTGTGACTGGTAACCCCTAGTAACCACTGGGCTCCTGTGACTGGTAACCCCTAGTAACCACTGGGCTCCTGTGACTGGTAACCCCTAGTAACCACTGGGATCATGTGACTGGTAACCCCTAGTAACCAGTGGGCTACTGTGACTAGTAACCAGTGGGCTACTGTGACTAGTAACCAGTGGGCTACTGTGACTGGTAACCAGGAGGCTACTGTGACTGGTAACCCCTAGTAACCACTGGGTTACTGTGACTAGTAACCCCTAGTAACCAGGAGGCTACTGTGACTGGTAACCCCTAGTAACCAGGAGGCTACTGTGACTCGTAACCCCTAGTAACCACTGGGCTACTGTGACTGGTAACCCCTAGTAACCAGGAGGCTACTGTGACTGGTAACCCCTAGTAACCACTGGGCTACTGTGACTGGTAACTCCTAGTAACCACTGGGCTACTGTGACTGGTAACCCCTAGTAACCAGGAGGCTACTGTGACTGGTAACCCCTAGTAACCAGGAGGCTACTGTGACTGGTAACCCCTAGTAACCAGGAGGCTACTGTGACTGGTAACCCCTAGTAACCACTGGGCTACTGTGACCGGTAACCCCTAGTAACCAGGAGGCTACTGTGACTGGTAACCCCTAGTAACCAGGAGGCTACTGTGACTGGTAACCCCTAGTAACCACTGGGCTACTGTGACCGGTAACCCCTAGTAACCAGGAGGCTACTGTGGGTGGTGAGAAAAGGAGTTAATGTCAAGCCCCGCATGCATTTACAACACAGACCTTATTAGAATGACCAGCGTCTCTGCACACGTGCGTTACCGACAGGTCAATTCCCCAAATAGCGGCGTGTGGTGTTTGAGGTTGAACCTAACGTTAGCTAACAAGCTAAGTAGGGCTAATCCCACACACACGTGCGGATAAGCAGGATGCATCCGGCTCTCCGGTACCGTTAACTTATTCAAACAAACAGCACAAACACGCACACGCTCTCTCGTCTGAACAACACGAACATACCTGCAAATGGGCCGAAATAATCACAGGAGTGATTTTGTGTTCCTCAGTAAACGCGTTTACTAGAATGAGAGGAAACACGCGTGTTGCCGGAATGTGCCGGCGAAGACCGAAGCAATCGATCCCAGTGTAGCTGATCAGGCGACTTAGTAGATAAAGGATTGAGGACTAATGATTCATTCCTTTTAGACAAAAACTGATGTAAATAAACCGTAGATCACTAACTCTCTATGAATGGACTCCTTAGAATGATGCAGGTCATCATTTGCACGCTTACCAGAGACGTTTTGCAAATTTTCACTGATAAAAACCTAGATTATGCGTTGAAAAATGTTTATTTATTAACATGTATATTAATATGTGCTACTGCGGGATTAGAAAATACTGTGTTTAACCATTCAAGGTCTAACATAGAAAATGTTTTATGTGATAAAACGTTGGTATTCAGGTACTTTTAGAGCTCAACGTGTTTGTTACTGAACCAACTGAACAAGAATATTCATAATTTATAATACATACAAATACAAAATGAGACCATTATGGAACAATATGTTGAAGTTCGCTGGCTGAAACTGAAAACTCCTATACATGTATTAAGCATATTCCGTCTCTAACAGTTACCAGAGTCATTGGGGGGCTCCGGGGGGGTCGTCTGGTCTTCAGCCTCCAGAGAGGATGTGAGATCAACGGCCTCTGACCTCTGAGTGAACACATTCAACAACTAGATGTTATTACCAGCACAACTATTATTAATGCCTGTACAGTTTGTATTTACTGTACCTCAGATGTCTCCTTTTCCTCCTCGTTTGGATTCTCAGAATCAGGGTCTGAAAAAGGAGAAAAGTTTATTTAACAGTCTTCATCAGAAGCATTTTATTGGTACTTTGGGATTACGAGGTGTTCAAACATCACGACCGTGAGAGACATACTTGGTGTAGATGCCGTAACAATAACCGTGAAACAAACAAACAGACCAAATTGAAGGTGAAACTATAAAACATAAATATAAATATTCTGTGCGTCTCCCGTGACTGAACCAATTAAACTGATTTTACCACCACACCAACTTAAAAATAAAACTGCTCTAGATATTTATTCCCTTATTATTGATATTACCTTTTGACATCCACATGAACCACTCTTCCCATTGGCATAAATCTGCACAATACTTTTCTAAAGAAAAAAGAAAATGTATAAAATGTAAAGCTAGTTCTAGTTACTCGTTATTTCCTTCTTTCCAAGCCGTGAAGAACCAACGTTGAGTTTCCGTAAAACTTGAATTGCACCGATATTAATGCATCTCGCTGGAAGCCCGACGTCATGTCGGTGGAGCGAAGCTCATAAAAAGCCATTTAATCTTCATCCAAACCGCCCGAGTTCTTCTCTCTGAATACGTTTTCATAACGTAGAGTTTGGTCTTTATTGCTCTCAAACTCAAAACCCTTTTGCCCAGCAGACACTCACTTGTTGTGGCAACAAAAGCAACAGGTGGAACTAATGAACCGCGGCTTAATTCCAGCAATTATCTTGATGCAGCGCAGCGATTAGTGATGTCCTCACCGGTTGTTCAAACTGCGCCTGACAAGTCACAATGTCTGCTCACGGGGGAAAAAGAAAAAAGAAAAAAAAGGTCTAGGGCTATTTAACTTTAGTTTCTGCCCTAAAGTCAGGAATTAAATCCTCAGACTGCCGCCCCCCGGGTGCTTAACGAACCCCTCGGAGAAGTCAAACAATGTGGAAAAGTCCTCCGGCTGCTCACAGCGAGTTATTCTGATTAACAAGGAGAATGTTTCTATAAATACACAGCATGGACATTTCTGAAGGTTTTGAGTAGTTGCACAGATATCATTTAATGAATTAATTTAGCTCCTCGTGTTGATGGTAGAAAATCTGCATGAGCCAAACTAATGACATCAGCATGGCGACATTCCACTAAAGGCGAGTGGAACCACGGTTTTATGGATTTGAATTTTTTTTTTTGGGGGGAGATTCAAACTATATTTTCTTGAATCCGAAACCATATAGTAATGAAAAACAATGGGTAACAAATGTTGAAACAAACTTGCACACATTTTTTTGCACACTTTTTCATAATAAATGTAAAACCCTCCTTGTATGTTTTTTCACCAGCAGAGGAAAAAGAGCTCGGAGCGTTTTCTTCAGAACAGGTTGTGACTGCCGTCAGTATCGTGGGAAAGAGGCAGGAGGAGATGCCGTGCATAACGTAAAAGGCCGAGCTTGGTTCTCAAGCGTCTCGTTGGTTGTCCATACCTGCAGTGGGCGGGGCCTCGCTCTCAACCGGCTGCTCATTGGCCTCCACATCAGTCAGCTCCGGCGCTGCAACCTCTTCTGGGCCGGACGTCTGCAAAGAGGAAGCAACAGGTCAACAACCTTCTCCAACCAGACGGGAGAGAGACAGGTCGGATCCTTTGGGTCCTCCCATCGCGAGACGGGTCGGATCCTTTGGGTCCTCCCAGCGCGAGACGGGTCGGATCCTTTGGGTCCTCCCAGCGCGAGACGGGTCGGATCCTTTGGGTCCTCTATCACGAGACGGGTCGGATCCTTTGGGTCCTCTATCACGAGACGGGTCGGATCCTTTGGGTCCTCCCAGCGCGAGACGGGTCGGATCGTTCGGTCCTCTATCACGAGACGGGTCGGATCCTTTGGGTCCTCTATCACGAGACGGGTCGGATCCTTTGGGTCCTCCCAGCGCGAGACGGGTCGGATCCTTTGGGTCCTCTATCGCGAGACG